GAGTATTACTCTTACAGTATTACTCTCAGAGTATTACTCTTACAGTATTACTCTCAGAGTATTACTCTTACAGTATTACTCTCAGCTACTGCCACACCAAATATTAGCTCAATATCTGTAATAATGGCTGAGTTACAACTGTGGTGGCCATCTTGACCCCAAAAGTAAATATTCTGTACATCTAATGATCTCTAATTAAAATGAGAAGTTAATGAGATATTTTGCTAACAGACAGTTTTAACGAGGTGAGGATGAAAGTTTCGTGGCAGCAGGCTGATTTGTTTAACACATTCACTGGAAGCCATGGATGGATTTGCATCAGAGCAGAGGAGAGGAGAGGAGAGGAGAGGAGAGGAGAGGAGAGGAGAGGAGAGGAGAGGAGGAGTCAGAGGGATGAGGTGACACCTGAGTGTTTTGGAAACCTCACATCGTACAGTCATGCTAACCTGAAGCCTTTTAGCTAAAACTAAACAAATGTTCTCTTCCTGTTTCTGCTTGTTTTTTTTTTTTAATTTTTGATCTGGTTTAGTTTGTGCTTGTTTTTTACCTCTCATTTTAGTTTATAGATCAGTTATTTTCTGCCAGTCCTTTCAGTTTATTATTAGTGCTTCTGTTTTCCTGTTTAGCCTGGAGAGGTTTTAGGTGTTTGTTTCCCATGATGCTCACAGTTTCCCTCAGCCTGTAAGACTCACACCTGTCTGCAGTTTGTGATCATCCCACCTGTGCTGCATTCACCAATCATCTGCAGTTTACTCCTGTGGGCTCAGACCCTCATACAGTTACCATCCTGCAGGTTTGAAAGCCTTTTAGACGCTTTTGTGAGGTTTCTTTGTGAACTGACTGACCTAATATTAAGTTTTGGGCTCAAACAAAAAAGCTTTGTAAGAGAAAATCCATAAAATAATCCAAAACTGAATATTTTGTTTCCAGGTGACGACCTTCCTCCTGAGAGCTAAAACACTGACGAAATGAGGAATACGTTTCAACTTTTATCTTTAACCCAAGTCATGGTGCATTTGTGCAACACGCTCTCTTACATAATCCTGCCTCCAAGTTTGATTCTGTTCTGAGAAGTTTGAGAGAGAGAGAGAGAGAGAGAGAGAGAGAGAGAGAGAGAGAGAGAGAGAG